TAAAAGCCTGGGGGGTTCCCCCCCCCCCCCCACCCGGGGAAATTTTTGGGGGGCCCCCCCTTTCTCGGCCGGGGGGGGGAACCCCTTGGTTTTATCCCCCCCCCCTAAAAGCCCCCCCGGGGCCTTCCCAAACCCCCCCCAAAAGGGGGGTTCCGACCCCCTTTTTTGGGCAAATTTTGGGGGTTTTTTTTTTTTGCCCCCTTTCCCTGGGTTCGGTTTTTCCCTGGGGCCCACCCGGGAAAATTTTAATTTTTGGGGGGGGCCCGGAAACTTTTGGGGGGGGTAAATATTTTTTCCTTTCCCCCCCCCCCTTTTTTTGGGGCCGGGGGGGTGGGTGTTTTACCCCCCAGGGCGGGGAAAACTTGGGGTTACCCCCCCCCCCCCCCCCCCCCCCCGCCCGGCCCTCTCTGGGGCTAGCCTCTCACGTGTACGCAGCAGTACCACGGGTTTGCTATCATCATAGCACCGCTTCTCCCCGCTGGTTGGGAGGAATCATCGGCCAAGAGCTAAATAGCTCATATGTACGCCTATCCTTTGGGCTGGCTCTCTCCTCACGACGGTAGTGCCCCGGAAAAAAAAAAAAAAAACACTCGCCTTGTGCTTGAGGAGTTGACCTTGCGCACCCCGAGAGTTCGGTCGTATATCCTACGCTGCTCGGTGTCGGCGAGCACGCTGTACGCCTCCGAGGCATCCTTGAACTCGTCCTCCGACCCCTACCATATATACATGCCCCGCGGACGTTTTTTTAGCGCGGAGCGAAAGAAGGAGGAGCGAAGCGAAAGAAGGAGGAGATCGAGCAAGGTTTTTCAGTGGTGCCTAAATTCTGTTGTTTGTATTATTATTTTCTTAATACATATGACCCAACGAATCCATCTCTATCTAACAAAATAGTCTAAGGTAGAAAAGCAATGAACTCATCGGGTCAGAGCAAGCTACCTGTATTTCCACGGTTTCCCGAGCAGCACACAGGGATATCTTCCCTGTGGGTAACAGGCTCAACAAGACAGTTTGGTGGTCTGTTTTTGTTTTTGAGTGGGATCGGCAGTTTCTCTCACGGCGTTGTGGTGCCGAGATTTGCGAGGGATTGGCAACTTTTCCTGTCGGCTACAAGAACAAGGAGAGAGATTTTGTGATGCAACGGAAGCTCGTTGAGGGGTGCTTGCTAAACTGCTGTGCAGTTGGAAACCTTCACAAAGGTTAACTACATTTCTCTCGTATTCTCACTTGCACCTCCTCTATTGCTGCTGTAGTTTTTCTGCTATCACCATTTCTGTTTACATGCCGCACTGCTGAACTGTAAATAGTGCTGTAGGTGCTGCTGTACACCTGTCTGCGATCACTTTCGGACAATGGAGGCAAGCAGCGTAGGTGTCTTATTCCTTGGCGTATGTTACAACAACACACTGGGAATAGAGTACCACACTTTTTCGACACTTGGAACCATCCGTTTGGACGCTAATGCCTCACCCACAAAGGTTAGTAACCAATGATGGCACCATGAATGCACTCCCCCACGCTACTCAACCCCCCCCCCCCGGTGTTCTGCCATCGGGGTTGGGTTTTCGTCGCTTGGCAACGACGTTGTAAAACAAGCCGCCCCCCCCGGTGTTTTGCCATCGGGGTTGGGTTTTCGTCCCTTGGCAACGACGTTGTAAAACAAGCCAAATCACCTTCGTGAACTCGGCAACCAGGTTCCCGTTTTTCTTATTTACCTCTGTTTTTTTTTTTGCGGTAACCATGAATGGTGGTCGAGTAAATCATGTTGTACGGGGTCGAGAAGCCTCACTCCGCGCCAAGGGGGATGATCGCACCACGTTGTGTTAAAATGGTCAAGCATCCTCGAGGCAGTTACACAGTGCTTACAACTGTCTCTGGAAGTGAAAGCACCAGAAAATAATTTAAGTCATACGCAGCTGTCATTCGTATGCAAGGAAGGAAGCACAAGATGCCGAACACCCTTAGCAGGATGCAGCTCACCCTTCATGCGACTCGCCGAATACCTCACGGCGCTTCGCGCTTGGTGATGTGAGAGCCTGGTCCGGTGAGAACCCGGCGTGCTCCGTCCCGGCTTTGTAGGGATGCGAGGTCAATGGTCTAACGACTACGGCATGCACGACTATGAGTACACCCCCCCCACGCTACTCAAATGAAGGGTGTAACTGACATATGCGATGGCTATGCACATGCAAGCACGTACATGCTGCTGCGCCTCCCACCCGGCGTAAGCAAAAGTGAAATCTACCAGATCGAGACTGAGAGGAGTTTTTCTTTTTCACGTTTTGTACGGCGACGTGCCAGGCAGACTCACGAAGCCAAGTTGGCCGGCCTGCCTCCAATAGAACTCCACAGCAGTTTTTGCTTGCTCAACGGCCAACTACAGTATGTCCTGCTGTGCCCGATGCGCTGAAAAAAACATGTGAGTCGGCTCGGGACTGTTGAGATATCGGCGACGTGGTTAATTTCGTCGGCGGGAAAACGCGGGAATAAACGAACACACAAGACGCAGCGATCACGCCAATGGCGCATTTCAGAGTGGACGCTTCCGACCAGGCACTCCATGCTCCCGCGTGGGCATGAGACCCCGACCCCATCTGCTGTACAGCACCAACGTCGTGAGAGACTGTGCGGTTCAGTGTGCACAGTCAGAGAAACACGCACACACGACGCCGTTGCTGATCAGATGGATGCTCCGCAAAAATTCTTGCCCACCTTGTCTCCCTTGTTGACGTCCGGATGAACCGCAAGCGCGATCTGTCGGTAAGCTGCCTTGATCTCGGAGTTTGTCGCCGTCCTTGCAACCCGAAGTATGGCGTAGTAGTCTCTCATCCCGCCCTAGCCAGGCTACAGCATCATGTCAGTGTTCCTTGCGGTGATGTGGACTGGACTGGGGGCTCCGCAGATATGCGTTTTGGTTTTTCGGGGTATGTCTTACGGTATTGGGTGCACCGGCTCTCGAGTGCGAGAGACTCATCCAAGTACATACCAGGTACAGGGAGGGGAGCGCTAGAGACACAGAGAGATCGCAGCGGCAAAGCATTGAATATGGCTGCTGGATCAGCCAGCTGGCGAGGGCTATGCAAACAGCACAGCAAAGTGCCTCCTCTCAAGCTCGTTCCCTTTCTCCCCCAGGACAACAACACAGCGGACATGAGCAGCAGCAGCGGCCAAGCCGGCAGCAGCAGCAGCAGCAGCAGCAGCAGCGGGAACACCATTAGCAGGGCGAACGCCGAGCTCGGGAGACTTCTTGACGTTGGCTTTCCCACGTTCTTGAGCTTCGTCCTCGAGGACGAGTCCCTGGCCAAGTTCATCGACACTTTCCTAAGGTGATGCGGCAAGTTGATGTTCACGAGAGGTGTGGTTTGCAATGTGCGGAGGGTCTGCTTTCGTATCACCAGCTGACCACCACCGCCGCTGCTCGTACATGTAGACTAGACTATATTCTCTAAGAATAAAGAGGGGTGATGGGGGCGTTGTATCACAGCATTAGGTTCTACACCACAAGTTGCCGTGGTACATCTTTTCTATAACCCATATCACGAAATGTCTCGGTGTGGAGCAGCCGCTTCACCGCAGCGTTTGATTCTTTTTACGCATCCACATGGAGAGCAGACTTGGAAAGGGGTCAGTCAACTGCAGATACAGCAGCAGGGCAGTCGGCTGATCGACTCCGAGTCCACCGCCCCACCCACCCACCCCACAAAGCCGTGGCAATTGCTGTCGTTAGAGATGGCTTGCGGCGGTGCTGGAAGGAGGAAATATGGGTGTCCCGCCTGCCACAGATCACCTCTGTCTGACGAAAAAATCAGGATAGCACTCCCCCCCCCTCCGTTTCTCGTGCGGCGTATCTTCCGTGGCATGCAGGTTTCGTAGGCGACATTACGAATCTACTGCTGCAGGGCAGCAGCAGCAGCAGCAGGAGCAGCAGCAGCAGCCGTCGGAAGAACCCGCCCCCCTGCAAGAACTCGGGAGGCGTGTTTTCCTGGTGCTGCTGCGAGCGGTTGGGCCGGAACACGCGTCGCTGGCCAAGGTATGTATTCTATAATCCACCACGAACGAACGACTGCCGTCGCCTTGGCACGGTTTTCGATCAAGTTGTACATGTTGGATAAAAGCATACAATCGGGAAAGGTTTTTCGATCAAGTGCACATGTTGGATAAAAACATACAATCGGGTATGGTTTTTCGATCAAGTTATACATGTTGGACAAAGCATACAATCGGGCAAGTTGGGTTATAGGGTTAGGGGTAGCGAAATAAGGTCTGCGTACCCCCTCCCGGTTTAACCACCGGCGGTTTGGCCGAGCATGCCGCAGGACCAACCCACCGCACACCCTGGACCCCAATACGGGCAGGCAGTCCATGCTTGCACCACGCAGCGATACAGCATGTTTTGCAACGCAAGGGTCTGCTATCGTATGCATAGCTGCGGGAGTTTGGATTTCTCGGCATAGGTCGCTGAAGACGGAGCCTATGGATAAAAACGTGCTTCTGTGTTTCGAAGGTGATGTGCCACCGCCGGCCTGTCGGCGTGTGTGTATCAACATGGGGCGCGACACAGTCGACACGGCAGAGCGCTCACGCGCAGGGGGCGTTTTCGATATCTCCGCGACATATCTCCTAAGACACAATTTACGGCTTGAGTCCGGCAGCCTCCACCTCTCCACTTCCCTTGCATGATACACGAAAACAACAACATCCGGAAGTGATATCGATAATTACGTAGGGTTGAGAAAAATTTTTGAGCCACCTTTGACCAAGTAGGAACGAACGATTGGCCATCGGTGATCGGTCCTGTGGGAACAATGCTCCGTCCTCTCGAGGTCGCTTGGTCAACGGCCTAACCGCTAAGGCGTGCAAAACACAAGATTACCCCCCAACCCCCGGCAAGGTCAACGGTCTAACGACTACAGCATGCACCGCTATCAGTACACCCCCACCCCACCCCCCGCCTATGCCACCTCGAAAACCCGCTTCCTGCTCCGCGGCAGGAGGACAACTACGCCGACTCCAGGAACAGCGCAACGCGGCCGGCGGAGTTGCTAGTCGCCGACGGGAGCATGCTTAGTCCCCCCGCCGTCCTAGACATGTGCGCGCTTTACGGCAGATCCAATCCTTCCCTGGTGGTTGGGTTGCTCAGGTCGCTGGGGGAGTTGGATGGCGGGGCTGCAGGCGTGTCTTCCCTGGCTGAGGGTCTCGAGAAGGCCGTGTTGGCAGCGGCCGGCGCGCTGGCGGAAGTCCACGCGAAGGTAGAGTGTTTAGGGTTCGGGGTTTGTGACGTTGTCGTGCGTGCTCTTTTCGTTTGTCTCTTGTAGACCGTGGCAAGAGCAGCAGGAAACAACGACGATAACAACAACAACAGTAGCAACGGCAACACTAACAACAACAAATTCAGCAGCAGCAAACGGCAGCAAAACAACGCACGAGCAACAGTGTAAAGAACGTAGGAATCCGGCACCTTTGTGCCTGCGCCCTGCACATATACCGCTTACAACCCTCACGGCAGATGGCCGGCGCCCAAGATGGCCTCGGTCTCGGACCTCCCATCGACCACACGGAGGCCTCCGATGTCCTGTCCTACGTAACCGACGTCGCCGTCAGCGTTGGCTCTCTCCTCCAAGCCTCCAGTGGTGTCCGTGCTGTCGGCAGCAGCGGCGGCGGCGGCGGCGGCGGTAGCGGTGGAGGAATCGGGCTGCTGGCGCAGCGGCTTCAAGGGTCCGACGGCGAGGTTTCCCCCGAGGGGCTGGCGGCGGCGCTGGCCCTGACTTTCGAGGCCACGCTGCCCGCCCTGGAAGGCTTTCTCCTGGCGCCGACTTCCTCCGGCAAGGTGTGACTCGAGTGTTTTGCGGAGGGGGCTTTGTTGTTGTTGTTGGTGGTGGTGTTGTTGTTGACGTGTGCATTGTGGATATTGTTGTTGTTGGTGATGATGCTATTGTTGCAGTTATGTCCCTGAGAGTTGGCCGTGTGTTCCGTACATACGCAAGGGCAGAGAGGCGTTTTGGGCACGACGGTTGGTCGTTTCAGGCCTCCCGAAACCAACAAGCAGAGATAACAATCAGGTTCGTGTGAGGGAGCAGCACTCTTTCCCTGGCGACACGCCCACAGATCGATTCCGTTAGTTCGCCTCCGATAAATCACCCGTGTCAATGCTTCGCGTTCGTCTTTGCTGGTCACAGGTTGGGGCACCTGACTCCGAGAGCGTGAGGGCGAGGGGACGCGTGGCGAGGCAGTGGCTCCTCCGGTGCCTCCACGGGCTGATAGGGCCGGTCTTTCTGCAGCCGCTAGGCCTGCAGGAGGCGTCGCCATCTGTAGCGGGGAGCGGGGACGGAGACGGGGCAGGAGATGCCGGGGTGGCAGGTGACGGCTCGTTTTGTTCATGTGTTTTCGTTAGTCCTGTTCGGCGCAAGCATTGCCTGAGAATGTGCTCGTTGTGTTCGTATTTTTCCGGCTGTAACATGACCAAAGCTCCAGTTGCAGCAGGTTCAATTTCATCGGTAGCCCTACCTTGATCTCCTTGCGCCCACCCCCCCCCCCCCCCGGTGTTTGTCACGTTTCCTCGTTATTTGCACAACCCATCATGTATCTCGTCGTTCGCGGTCTTCACGCTACAAAAAAAAAAAACACCGGACCCCGAACACACCACTCCAACGACAACGACAACGACAACGACAACGACAACACCAACAACAACAACGCGATGGGCTAATAAAAACACACCACGCCGTACACGCACCCCCCATGTCTCAAGACGGCCTGTTCAGCTTCGTCACCTCCGTCACCGCCGCCTCCGGCCACCTCGCGCCCACCGGCTATGCGGGGTCCCTCCTCGGGGAGTACAACCGCCGCTTCCGCCTCGCCGACGCCCTCGACCAAGCCCAGGCCCTCGGAACGCAACCAATCCCGCCGCATCCGCCGCATCCGCCGTCGGAGAAGCAACGGACACCACGGGTGGGCCTAGCGCCGGGCCTAGTCCTCGGTCCCGAGCGCACGGAGTACCTGACGGGGGTCCTCCGCGCCCTACCCGTTTCGGAGGAAGGGGTTTCGAAGGAGGCAGAGGCAGAGGCGGCGGCGGCGGCGGCGGCGGCGGGGGCGAGGGCCATGTCGGCGGCGTTGGACATGGGG